ACGCGTCCCCAAACGACATCACACGTTGACGGAGAGTTTTCCGTCCCGGCTGCAGTTAAAAGTTACGGCCTCGGCCTGCGTCGTAATTCCAGACGCCATTGTTCACCCTGGATGAGCGGAAATATATATATATACTGTCTGCTGCTTTATTACCCACCGGAGCCGGCGGTCTGCTGTGGCTGTAAATCCTGTGATGTATGTATACACATGTACATACATCTGCATTAATGAAGCCCGAATCGGCCCCTCGCTGACTGCTGCCGTATATCCAGGCCCCGCAGCCCTCCCGTCCTCGTCCAGGGCGACGCGTCACCGCTCGCTGTCAATGTTGTAGAAAGACGGCTAATACAGAAACCGCTGACAGTGTGTCAGCAGAAATGGAAGTCAACCGGGGTGACTCTTGTAGACTCGTGTCACCGTTCCAGCTCGGTGCATAAGACGTGATTTAGGGCTCATTCACATGGGCGCCGCGCACTTTCATATGATGCAGAGACCTGCTCCCCAGAGCGACACGTGCTGCGTGTGATTGCATGCGTCTGCCTGTACCTCCCTATGGGAGAAGGTCTCTACATGGTCGTACCCGCTCATGTGAATGAGCCCTAAAAGGTCACTCACGTCTTCTTTAAATCATTTATTTAAGGCAGACGGAGCAATTTCTTGAAGGGCACATTCACATTTTTGAGGTGCTGGAGTTCAGCTTTGAAACTGTATCGTTCTACTGAATTTCCATAGCTCCATCCCACTTCTAATGACCATCTTCAGCTAGAAGTTTGTAAACTTATTGAAGATGCCCATAGGATGTACTTCCTCAGTGCACAGGAGACAACTCGCAGAGCCTGCCTTCTGGATTACGACTCCACATCTGAACAACGTAACATCATCATTGCTTGCTGGAAGTAGTGCATGCTGGGAGATGTAGTCTTCAGCAATGGAGATTGCATCACATCAAGCAGCAGGGAAAGTAACGCAAAGCACACAGGGAATCCAGGAAGTTGTTGAAAGTGCTACGTGTGATTGCATGCGGCTGTCTATACCTCCCTATGGGAGAAGACCTCTACATGGTCGTGCAAGCTCATGTGAATGAGACCTCAAAGGTCACTTACGTCTTCTTCTTTAAATCATTTATTTAAAGGAGAACTATGAGGTGAGTGCTTTTCAGTCACCTCATAGTTCTAGCCGACCTGTGAAAATGAGACTGTCACAGGTCGGCTCAGTAGATCGGGAGGTGAGCGAACACATACCGGCGTTCGCTCACCTCTTGATCCTGTCACGGCTCTCTGCTGGATTCCCCCCTCCCCGCTCCGATCCGCCAGCGCTGACTGGCGGAATGGACGGGGAAGGGGGCGGGTACAGCTGGCTCTGCCTCTAGATAGGCAGAGCCAGCTGTCACTCACGCAGCTGGGCGGATCTCGACATCGATGTCGGGATCCGCTCCTGCTGCGGCATCTCAGTATATAGTGAGCTGTAGCTCGCGGTATACTGAGCTTAGGGTAACGGGAGGACGCTAGTTTGTGTCCTCCCGTTACCCTAAGGAAAACTATAGGGAAAAGCCCTGAGCCCATAGTTTTCCTTTAATGCAGACAGAGCAATTTCTTGAAGGGCCCATTCACATTTTTGCGGTGCTGGAGTTCAGCTTTAGAGTCGGAGACAGGCAGGCATATGGTAGAGTACAAAGCTATGACCGTCCTTATTTCACTGAGTACAGGTATAAAAACAAGTGTTCCAGGTCACAGTTGTCCCGTACTGAATCAGGAAAAAAAAGCCCGGTTCCTATCATGCAATAGAAGCTTCTATTGTCAGTGTAGGCAACCTCGGCACTCCAGCCATGGTGACACTGCGAATCCCATCATGCACCTGCCTCTGGGAGCCATTCCTGTGGCTGTCGGAGCCTTGCAATGCCTCATGGGACTTGTAGTTCCACAACGGCTGGAGAGCCGAGAATTCCTACCCCTGATCTATTGCATTTACTGCATTTACATTTCAGACCCACATTCCACTTCTCTAGGCTGCCTGAGGTCTCTGTACAATCTCCATTATGTAACACAAGGACTTACATGCGCCTTCATTCAATTCCTAGCCAATCAGAAAGGACTTTACATAGCTGCCGGTAAATATAATGAAGATTGTACAACCGAATGGTAGCCTGTGTGGCCAGCTGTAGTCCTTCTCTATGTTACTGGAAGACTTACAGCAGAACTCCAGCTAACATTCTAAAAATAGGATCAAAGTTATACTCACCCAATCCTCTGAGCCGGTGTTTTGACTACGTTAGAATGTGTGACTGATCACACAATTTACCGTAATCCCTCCCTGTTTTTCGACGCTGGGATGTGTGACCGCCAAAAGGTGAAGAATTCCAACGCTTTCTCAGCTGTTCCAGGGCAGAGCAGCATCGCAGATCGTATGTGCAGGAGAAAAACTGGGCGTGATTACATTAAAATGTGTGACCACGTGAACGGTCACACATTCTAACGTAGCCACAAACTTTGATAGAACAACGGCGGGGGGGCCCCCCTCCCTCTCCCTCCACTGCAGCGGTCTAAGGATCCTTGAGTCACACTGTGTATAGAACGTGTGGATGCCGGGGGGGCATACCCTCGCTGGAGGGAGCGCTGTCACAACTGGCCAGCTCGGGGGGATCCCGTGAGTATAACTTTAAGTTTTGACCCTAGGCAAAAATGAGCACTTAACCCTTGCAGCCTGGGGTAGACCACGACAAGGGTTAAGAACATTTTTAGACCAGAGTTCCTCTTTAAAGAAAAACAATAAATTGACGTATTTTATCTATAAATTTCTCCGATTTTCTCACTTGAAAACACATTTTTTGTTTCATTTGTTGTTATTTTCCCGGAGCCGTTGGTGGAAGGATTCCGATCCAATGCCAGCTGGTGTCTATGTGTGAGATTGTGGGCCCCGCTCGCTGAATAAGACGCATGAGATTGTTCACAGAAGAACGGTTTCCAGGAAATATTTGTGTCTTCCAAGAAGTGAGATAAAAGTGGAAGGTCTGGCAGACAACACCCCGCAGCTTCCTCACACCTGTCAGTCTGGCAGAGCGAGGTCCTTGTGGTTGCCGTACACAGATAGAGGGGCCGATTGTGAAGGGAGATGGTTTGAGTGGTTTCTCTCGATCATCGTGAAGTACTCGGAGCCATTCCAGACAACAATTGAAAGCTTTCAGTCAATTACTAATGCCAGGCAGCAAACACTGCAACCGGGTAAAGTCAAATGATGGCTTAAAGTGGAACGCCATGCCAAATACAAAACGTCTTACATAAAGATAGGCAACCTCGGCCCTATAGTTGTGGTGAAACTGCAAATCGCATCATGCCTTTGCCTCTAGGAGTAATGTCTGTGGCTGTCTATCTTGCAATGCATCATGGGACTTTAGTTCCACCACAGGTGGAGGGTTACCCCTGGATTGACCATTTCTTTTCATACTTCTCAGTGGGTTGTTTTTTATTCTCTTCTTTCATTCTCAAGTGTTTTTTGCTTGATCCTGCCGGTGGTGCTGCCGCAGCCTTATTATCTATGTTGGGCCAACGACGCCAGTTGGTAACGTTGTCTTCTCTCTCTGACTCTGCTTTTGGCTAGGCGGTGACATCACTAGGTTGCCATGTCCACTAATGCAAAGGTTTCACTTGCTGCTGTTTTCAGAGCAAGCTCAGTCCGACATAGAAGATTGATGATGCGTGAGCAGTGATAGACCCGCCCACTGATGCTGGTGGCCCCATAGTATCATAGGTTGTTGTTGTACCCGCCTGCATCCTAACAACCAATGATTTTGTGAGGCTGAGCCACCAGTCAACCAGTGACTCTCTGTGGTTTAAATACCAGTCAACCAGTGGCACTCTGCCGCTCAGTTACCAGTCAACCAATGACTCTGCAGTGCCTGGGCATCAGTCCACCAATGATTCTGTTGGGCTCAGGTATCGGTCAACCAATGACTCTGTAGGGTTCAGCCCGCAGTAAACCAATGACTCTGTAGGCCTCAGCCATTGGTCATCCAATGACTCTGTAAGGCTCATTCACCAGTCATCCAATGACTCTGTAAGGCTTATTCATCAGTCATCCAATGACTCTGTAAGGCTTATTCACCAGTCAACCAATGACTCTGTAGGGCTCAGGCATTGGTCATCTAATGATTCTGTAATGCTCAGGCATCGGTCACCCAATGACTCTGTAAGGCTCCGTCAACAGTCAACCAATGACTCTGTAGAGCTGGGCTCAGACACCAGTTAACCAATGACTCTGTAGGGCTCAGGCACCAGTCAACCGGTCATTGGTTGCAAGGACAGAGGTTTGGTGGGCAGGCAAACTGACCAAAACGGTTTTCCAGTTTGGCAAATAGTGTACAGCTTGGGTTCGGGTCAAACTCGTGGTTGATTTGAACCTGGAGCTCATGCCTAATTGCTGAACAAAGAGGTCAGGAAGCAAAGGGAAGCTGAGTATGTGCTGTTGGGAAGGAGGGATTTAAAGTGCAACTGAAGCCAAAACTTTTTTTTTTAAAGTTTTGTATAGAGTACAGAGGGATTAGAACCCCTGCCAGGTCTGTGTCCCCGTCGGGGATGTTCACCCTCTCTATTTGTCCTGATGACTTATCACTAAAAGTGAAAGTAAACCCCTAATTTTGGTTTGTCACCAGAACAGGATCAGATGGGAAATCTTCCAATGGGGACACAAATTCTAATGATGACTAGGTATTATCCTTACTTTGGAGGGATCTTCTCTCACTTCCTGTTTAGGCTATCGGACAGGAAGCGAAGGGAAATCTCCCCAATAGTACATAGATGCCAACCTTACTCTATCTAAAACTTAAAAAAAAGTTGATTGTCCTGTATTGGCAAATGTGCTTTAATGTCATATTCATTACAAGGTCAAAGTTTTTTTGTACTTTTCTGGTCTTAAAGGCAACCAGCCTGGAATTGTTGAGATGGATTTTATACATCAAGACCTAATATAGCCTCTAGCTAAACTTGTCTCCTTTTTTCTTCTTTCAGATTCCTCATTCTCTCCTCCCATTGCTGATTTTGGAATAGCAAAAGCGATCACTGAAATACTTTCACCGCTAGAGAACAATTGGTCAGTCCAAGACCCATAAACTTTACTTTGCGGCCTGTTGGATTTGTCATGGAACAACGTGAAAACGCCAGCGGCAACCGTCATGGGTGTTGTGAAACGGATTTCCTGCCGTCCGCCACATCGGCGAAGGCCCCGGCCATCTCTGGTTGTGCAGGAGGAGACCCCTTGATGCCAGCCCCCGGGGCCACCAAGGCCGGTCCAGGGAACGTGGAGTCGATGGAGCCGGAGGAAGAAGACGAGCTCGGGTCGGGCCGAGACGTGGATTTAAACTCCAACGCGGACAGTGAGAGGTGGGTTACCGGAGACGGCATGGAAGAGCAGGAGTTCTCCATCAAGGAGGCCAACTTTACGGAGGGAAGTCTGAAGCTCAAGATCCAGACCACCAAGAGGGCCAAGAAGCCCCCGAAAAACCTGGAGAACTACATTTGCCCTCCAGAGATTAAAATCACCATAAAGCAGTCGGGAGATCAAAAACTCTCCAAGGCTGGGAAGGCCGGCAAAGCCACAAAGGACGACGAGAGGGTTCACGTGAGAAAGAAGGTAAGGAGGCCGGTTCTAGAATGTTAAGGTCACTTGTTCTGCATGTTTTTATGTTTTATTTTAAAATATTGCTGGTTTTTTTAACTATCTTATGCTTTGAAAAGTGAATGGTGCTTTACCCATACAAAGCAACATTTTCATTGAGTTGCTGCCAAGCCCCCTTACCCATTGGGTATGCTCCACCACCTTTCCCATTGGGTATGCTCCACTACCAACTGCCTTGTTCACCTGGAACAGAAGAATCTTCATGCAAGCTCAAAGTCAATCTTGCCAGAGCTTGCACCGGGATAAGGACTCTGCCCGCCAACCTATCCAAATCTACCCCAACCCCAAAGTGTCAACAATGGGACATGGTTATTGGCCACTCAGTCACCCAAGGCTGACCTCATAGCAGGAAGGGGAAAGAGTCTCGTGCTCCTTCCCTACCCGGAAGTACTGGGTGATTCTCTTAACCCTGCAGTTTCCATTTTTCTATCGAAAATGGTTTTGGTAAAATATTAAAAAGAGCTGATGAGTCATTCCAGCAAAGTGCTGTTAAACAGTCACATGACCATTCTCAGCTAATATGACTACAGTTAAGGGAACTCTGATGTGTTGCTAACGGTAGAGCTGCCGAGGTTTTTCAGTGGTGGCTTCCCATTGGTCTGTTGGGGCTGTACAGAGTGCTAGAAAGCAGTCACATGACCATTCTAGGCTAATATGAATACAGTTAAAGGGAACTCTGTTGTGTTGCTAGGGGTAGAGCTGCCGAGGTCATTTCAATGAGGACTTCCCACTGGTCCATTGAGACTGTACAGGATGCTAGTAAGCAGTCACATGACCATTCTAAGCTAATATGACTACAGTTGAAGGAACTCTGTTAAGTTTCTAGGAGTAGAGCTGCCATGGTCATTCCATCGATGGCTTCCCATTGGTTCATTGAGACTACACTCTGCACAGAGTGCTAGAAACCAGCCACATGAGCATTCTCAGCTAATATGACTATAGTTAAAGGAAATATGTTGAGTTGCTATGGGTAATGCCAATTGCAGTTAACTTTTTTTACTGCCTCATTGAATAAGCCTATGTGTGTGTGGATGGGTGCACTGTATCCTAGTCAGAGCTACATGAATACATTTGACCTGTGGATACCATGCAGGCGCCATTTTGTTACATTGGAAGGGCAGGTTGGTTCATTGTCAATGGTGTTTTTTAGATGTCTTTATTGCATTGGATCCTATTAGACATACAGAAGCTGTTAATCGATGGCCGTTTTTGACAGGCGAAATCGGTTTCAGCTCTGTACGGCAGTTTTCTTGTACCTCTCGGGCCAGTCGCCGGTTCCAGGCTCCATTCTCATGAGTCCAGTCGGCCTCTTGGGATGTTCTGGGAATCTATAAAAGAATCCAGAATCCTCGTGCAGCGAAGTTTGATCTGGGAATGTGCCGCCCTAACGCCAAATCTGGAACTCGCTGTTTACTTTATGAATTTGTACAATGAGCGTCCTTAAAGCGATGAATTCCAAGCATGGAATTTTCTGACGTCAGTCTGCTCTGCCTCTGCTAGGAAGAAAATGAGGGTGAATCTCTGTTTTTCAAGGAAATGTTTGTTTTCTTAGTGACTTCTAATTAGATTTTATAGCGCATGCCGTCTTCTTCTTCTTCTGGGAGCTCGCAGACTTAGCCGGGTGTTAAATGAAGTCTGTCATGGACGCAAGAGGGCGATCGGACAGGCAGACGCCAGGCATTGTTCAGGTGTATAGGTCCCCACACACCTTACGATAATCGTATGATAATCGCAGGAAATCCCACGATCGTACGATTATCGTAAGGTGTGTGGAAGCCGTGCGACCTCTACTACTGTAAGGTTGCACAACTTTTAACTTACGGACATGTTCGAAAACCCGCCGAGCATCGTACGATGTTCGGCGGGTTTGTGGCATGTCCGTACGATAAAAGCTGTACGGGCCGGTGTGCGCAAGCAATTCAAGATAGGCAGATCGTACGTTTTTTTAAGTACCTTACAACCATCGCAAGACAAAAGATTTGCAATGGTTGTAAGGTGTGTGCTCAGCCTATGGAGAGCTTAAAGCTGAGCTCTGGGCAGATATAAATGACAAACATTTAATGCAGCTCTGTAATCATTAATAGATCATTAAATGTATCTTTTAAGATACAAGCAGTGTTAGTAGTGTAAGATGAAGAAGCAGCACAAGGCACCAGTCAGCTCATGTGCTGACTAGGAGCATGCTAATAGGAGAGAGCAGAGTGCCGCAGAGATAGTTACATAGCATTTGAGGTTGAATAAAGACACAGGTCCATCAAGTGCAACCTATAGATGAGCTCATCACTGTGCTGCTTCTCTTTTCACTACCAAGTCATAGACTGGGGGTGGGTCCAGGATCACCTGGGCTCAGATGAAGTGGGTCAAATGAGCCTTGCCATCAGACTGAGGATATGTAGTGTCCAATATAAGTTCCGCGGGGGATCTCTGGATTGAAGGTGAATATTGCAGCATTAATACATCCTAGCATGGCACAATATTAAACAACAGTATGATGTGTTTATCATTAATGAGCCATCCTTGCGCTCCAGTCAGTGACTTTGACTAGGCTGAGATGATGTCATCAGTCTGCTGCAGGCAGGAGGAAGCATGACCTCCGTTTCCCCTTTCCTGGTGATCAGACATTAGTACATTATGATGGTTCACAAGGTGGGGGGCTGCATGTGTGTGTCATCTCTGAACCGGCATTGGAGTCTAGGAAGTGGATGGTGACCCTGCATGATGCCTGAAAAAAGATGGCACCGTCCTTATGGGGAGCACTGTGATCTCTGTGAGGGGTAATAAATACCTGGAAGTGATACTTAGGTGAGAAATTATGAACTTAACATGACAAATTGTGACAATGTATCCACTGTTCTTTCCCTTACCAAAACGTTCTATATATCTGCTTCAAACACTGGTCCGAGCCTCAGCTGCCTGCAGTTGCTGACTTGTATTTAACCGTTCCTGACCAATCAGCAGCTGCGTCAAGTTGGAATTGCCGCGGCGTGCCCCCAACTCGCTCTGCTGCAGCTTTTTTTCTTTTATTCATTTAGTTTGTAAGCTCGGGAATTAGACTTTGCATCCCGCTGACATCCGAAGCCACATGTAGCGGATAATGTTTGCGCAGGCCGGGGTGGCGTGGACTCAGCCGCATCAATGCAAACAGCGCCATGTGGCCTGGCCACCGCTTCTCCGGAAAAGTCATTTAAATAACAGCACGGCGGTGGACTTGGCTGCCGGCTACGAAAGACGGGAGATAATCCCTCCCGACCGGCGTCTTGATTGGCTTTGTTCAGTCGCTGGCGTTGGAGGCGAGAAAACATCTATTAGTCAGGGATGGAGGACGATGGGACGCTGGGCCGGGTCTGTCCATATCAACTGTGCCCTGACTGCAGCACAGCAACCGATAGAGGTCTACCTGTCCCGACATTCCGAGGATAGGAGATGGAAGATAGCGGGAAGTCAAATGGTAGTTCGGAATAGGCGAGATGACAGCCGCAGGTTATAAAAAGAAGAGATCAGACCGACCAAACCTCTGATTTCAGTATATGAGGATTAAAGTTTATACTGACCCCCGACCTTGCACCGGCTCCTCTCCTGGACTGAAATGGCTTCCTCTGATATCACTGCACACTGGGAGCGTCTCTCAATGTGCATTCCAAGCTGCAGCAAATCAGATAGAGCCCGCCTCATTGTCTGCTCACAGAAGCACTGAGACCCAGTGATGACATCACTGGATGGAAGATAAGGTATCTAATAAAAACCATTGACAAGGGGCGAGGGGAGGAACCAAGGAGGCAAAACATAAGATTGAACTTCAGCTTTATACTTAGACTTGAAATATAAGGAACGCTTTACGAAAAGCTATATTGATACCCTGCCGTTTATTCAATAATTTCCTTCGGTGACGAACTTTGTTATACTCGCATCGCTTTATGTGATTTATATTGTTGTCACATATTTTTATACACAGTTGATATTTAGATCACATATGTGCGGTTTTTACACATAAATTACTACCACAAAGTAGAGATTGAATAACAAAAGACGAGGCAAAGTTTATTTATTTTTTTATTTATGCATTTATTTATTTAATTATCCAATCAGTTACTTAGTTGTTTCAATTACTCCTTCACGATTTAAAGATCCTAAAAGCACTTTGAATTAGTATCACCAGAGACACGATTTGTTTTCTATACACTTTGATTACATTTTTACTATTGTTGATTAACTTTCTCAAACACTAGTTTATGAGAGAACACAAAAAGGTTGAATACACACACCAAGCGCAACATATTAGCCTACATTTGATATATTGATACCCCGATGTAGAAGTCATTTCTTATAAATGATCTGCTCATCCTGCTGGTTCCCCCTTTCAATTTGACCACGCCGAGCATTAAAGTGACATTACACCCTCAGATTTTTTAACATAAACCAATACTGTAATGTGCGCCTTACTGTAATCCATGGTAGTTTCCCTTCTCTTTACTGCTCTTCCTTTTAAATCCTCATGTCTTCTCATGCTTGAGGAGAACTTCCCTTTGCAGCTGAGTGCCTCTTCCTGTAGTGCTGGCTCAGTTTGCAAACCTATACACAGACACCGTGTATCCATTCCTGAGACAAGGCAGTCTGCTGCAAAACAGAAGTTCTGCCCCAGCATGAGAAGAGATACAGATTTAAAAGGAAGAGCAGCAAAGAGAAGGGAAACGACCATGGATTACAGTAAGGCACACATTACACTATTGTTTTATGTTAAAAAAATCTGAGGGTTTAATGTCACTTTAAGGTCAGCTTGCTTCCCTGAGCTTGCTGCTTGGAGCTACACAACAACGTGTCGGCATACCCGGCTGTAATCCCGGAGTCAACTTTGCCGCTAACGCGCCTTTCCCCCTGCCAAGCCATGCTGTGTTGAGTGACCCCCTTTGCTGTCAAAACTCTGAAGCTTCTCATAGTCAATATGGAGGGACGGAATTGTAGTGCACAGGTAGGTAGGAATCTGGTATGCAAGTTACTAATGTGTGTGTGATGTAATTCTGCTGCTCACTTGCTGGCAGTTGAGACCCCCCCCCCCCCCCCCCCAGGGGGGGGGGGGGGGGGGGCA